GCCCAGGCCAGGTCCCAGCCAGAGAGAGTCAGCCTGGGGCCACCAGCACCTTACTCTGAGTCCTCGACGGATCCCCAGCAGCGCGGCTCGGAGCAAGTCAGTGGGTTGTCGCCATGGCATTCGCAAGCTGGTGGTACAAGACGGTAAATAAAAACGACCTAGCCTGGGTAGGACTGGGAAGGGAAGGTTTTACTTCGCCCCTCTGGATGGTAGAGGAAATGCTGTAAGAAATTTGAAGGGACAGGGGTGGGGACTGGGTGCGACCTCCTTGCAGACCTTCTGGTAGGCTGGGGCAGAAGGCGGAAGCTCACCCTTCTGTGGAATGCGGACGCTTTCTGGGATATAGAGTCTAGGGGGCGAGGAGCACCAAGCTCACTCAGCTTGCGCGCTCCCAAATTGAATGGAAAGTAATCCTTAATTCTGCCCTTTGGAACGCATACCTGGATACACAGACAAGAGCCACTGGAGCCAGTAGTTTTTCTACTGCTAAGTAAAGACAAAAACTTAAAAAGAACAGAATGTTGCACGTGCAGTTTCAAACTTGAAAGAGGAGGGGGAAATGGAAAAGAAGAAAATATCAGGTAGCAATGTGATCAATAGATACTTTTAAGAGGGGTGAGGAGAGAGGTGAACAGGGGGCTGGCATGGGAGAAAGAGAATGAGTATATCTCACTACCCTATATTACTTGACCAGAGGACAAACGTGTTCTATTTGGTTAGTGCCCTGAACGTCAGTCCTACCAATTAGGTGTGATACCCAGTCAAGCTGGCACTTGTAATGTTTTGAAATCAGGAAGCATAGCTTTAACATTACATTAAAAACAAACAAACAACCAAACAAGACTTCACAAACACTTTGTTTGAGAGCCATAGGTTGATTTATGGCAAGAATTTCAAAACCTTAGGTCCACCTTCCTTTTTTAGCATGTGTCATGGAAAAAGTAGACATAGTAACCAGACAATCTTTGCATCTAGAAACTTTGTGTTTGAATTAGAAACGGGTTGCATATGCAGTGAGCATTCATTGATCATCCAGGTGTGCTAGCTTCAAGTGTACTGTAGAGTTTTCTTCTTAACTCAAATGTTAATACTTTTAATAAGTCTGTTAAAATGTGTTGTCATATCTGTAAAATAGCCAAGAAAAACATAAGGAACAGATTCAACAGGCATGACACATTCGTGAGTGTTCACCATTGCACTTTTCTGTGTTATTTAAATGTATAGTTTTATTGATGTTTCTAAGAGTAAAAGTTTGCTTTGAGTCATGACTGTCCCAGAATTATTATCAAATCGTATCCTTTAAATTATCTGCAAATATGGATGGCAGGTGTTGAACTAACTTCGGACTTCTCCATCCAGGCTCACATCATCTAAATGAAATTATGCCAGAGTCCTTAGATGAAGATAGCTTAAATCGTTCCTTTTAATACCTACTGCACTATGCTAGACACCTTGTGGAACTATTACTTAAAATACTTATGCTTGGTGGTAACATTCTAGAATCTTCAGCATGCCTGTGATCAAGCTCTGACTTTACTCTAGGAGAAATGTACAGTGAGCCACATACAAGCCTTAAGAAATTTAACAGCCATATTAACAAAAACATTTTAAGAGGTGAAATTAATGTTACCCCAACCCCATCCCAGTTTACGTTTTAGTGTGTAATCAGGTGCTAATAATTATGATAGTTCACCTCTTTTTGTGTCAACTATTCAGACTCTGGATGTGCTGTATATTTTATACCCACAGTACCTCCTAATTCACGTTTCCCACAATTCACACTTACTCCCAATTCATACTTCCCAAAATTCACATTTCCAACAATTCACATTTCCCTTCCAATTCACATTTCCCACGAGATCATTCACTCGCCACGTGGCTAGTGGTATGGCATCAGACAGAAAAGCTCTATGGGGGTCAGTTCCTGAACTTAAAAAAAAAAGCCATTTATAAGTGATCACAGATCATTTTGATAATTAAATGGAAGTCAGGTAGTACTTGCTCTCAACAATGTATATAAAATGCAGCTTTAGGGCATGCAAAGTCTGTCCATAAATCTATCTCCAATGGTTCACTTAACCAATTTTTAACATATAGATACATATACATGCACATGTTGTATATATTCTATGTATATATAAAATATATATACATGTTTTCATATGTGCAATGTATATATAGTTTTGTTTGTTTATGTGCCTATGAATAAAGATAAGCAGTCGGACCCTTTTATCCACATATTCAGACACTAATCAAAAATAATTTTAAAAATTGTCTTTACTGAACATGCACCAATTTTTTGTCATTATTCCTCAAATAAAATAGTATAAAACTGTTGAAATGCTTTAATACTCTGTACCATAAAGAACACACAAGAGACCATTCATAAGTTAGATGTAAACATGCCATCTTACACAAGCCATTTGAGCATCTGCATGATTTAGTCCCTGAAGTCAGTTTCCAAAAGATACCAATTGATGGCTGCATACACGTCCATCTCAGAATAGCTCTGCTAAATCCTATAATTAGAATACCTTTAGTAGATACTCTATAAATGCTAAAAATAATGTGAATAATCTAACATTAGGCAAAATAAAATTAGAGTAATGTAAAGATGTGTTCATTTAAGAAGATGCCTCCTGTAAAGCCAGCCTAGGAAACAAATATTGTCTATTTTCATACTGAATTCCATCACTGTCTGAAGAATTTTCTGATTATAGAAAAAAGTCACTTAAAAAGCTACATTTAAGGAATATCTGATGAACATCATAATTATTAAACTTAAGAGTAAATTTGGGTTACATCAGTAATCAGAGTCCTGAGTCATAAGTTGATTCTATTATCCTGTGATAATTAAAGGTGCTTCTTGGTTTAACTGGATTCATAGACACAGTGAGAATATAATCAAGGAGCCCAGTCATTTGGAAGACTCCATCGTTTCAGCCAGACAGGACAATCTGTTGCAAACTTCACATGGCAAAACAGACAACTTCACTGCAATGAATTTTAGGGAAAAAAATTATAAGGTCTGCACAAGGGAGATAGCATTTAGGGTAGAAAGAAAGAAGGCGGTAAATGTCACTATTTTTTGGCTGACAGTCTCTAAATGGATCATTTTCCATTGCATAAAAGCCTTTAGAACTGAGTCACACATGATGATATTGTTATTTAGTCAGTTTAGGAAATTCCCAGAAAGTTAATTACATTATGCGAGTGCTTTTTAAAATGTGGTGTGGCTTTCTGGTGTGGAAACAGAGGGTGGCCATTTGCAACTCCAAAGTGGACAAACGGGTAGTTAGTTCCAGGTAGGTTATTTCAGGACTTTCGCAGGGGGTAGGGGGGTATCAGGCTTCATTTCCTCCACTTTGGGTATTCTTAATATATGAATCTTATTAGCATGACAGTGAAGTTCTGTGTTCTGTTCCTCAAGTTGTTTCACTTTCTTTTTATGAAAACTTACTAAGAAAGTTTTATAACTAACATAACTTTGAAAAATGTCTATCAGATTGTACCAGTTAAGAAAAATTACAAGAACTGTTCAATCATGTGAAGAAACTTGGTTGGATAAGTTACCACATCAGATGGAGATCCAGTTAGTTCAGGAAGAGAGAGAGAGAGAGAGAGAGAGAGAGAGAGAGAGAGAGAGTTTGTGTCTGTGTGTCTGTGTGTCTGTGTGTCTGTGTGTGTGAGTATGTGTATGAGTGTATATATGTGTGTGAGTGTGTATGTGTGTGAGTGTGTGTTGTGTGAGTGTGTGAGTGTATATGTATGAGGGAGTGAGTGTGTGTGTGTATTGTGTGTGTGTGTGTGTGTGTGTGTTGGGGGTGTCCATGTGCCATCGTGTGCAGTCAGATCTGTCCTACCTGCTGTGTGATTTCTAGAAATCAAACTCATTTGCCAGGTTTGGTGGCAAGTGCCTTTACCTACTGAGCCATGCCACTGATCCACCTTCTCTGATATTTTTTATTTTCTTCCCACAACATTAGCTTGTAATGGACACTCACTGGTTTTTTTTCTTTTTTATAGTTAATAAACTCTATCCCCCAGAGTCATCTTTTCTGTGAGCTTTGACATTTTTCAGTTTTAAAACTTGAACAACTAGCATTTTGCCTTTGGGTGATTCTGGGGTGGAGGGGACACTCTTAAGATAAGAGTCAGCTGAAGTTTTCAAAATTGTTCTTAACAAAACTGCTATACATGATCATAATAAAGGGGGTATAATGAACTGTCACAATCAACTGGCAACATTACTGGCCAACATTGTGTCTTGTTTTATCATGAGATCCTGCTACCACACAATGTTTTTTTTAATGCAGGTAAATTGCCACTTTAAATGTTACATGAATAGGCAAATTGTAGGCTGTTGAAAAGAATGGAATTTTCATTCTACATGCAGTTAATTTTCTTTGGTGTGATCTGGGGTGAAACAATCTCATGCACAGTGAAGTGCTAGAGGACCAAACAAACATTTACCATGGCAACTAGGACTCTTTGTACTTTTGGGAT